GGGGCTGCGCCCCGGCTCGGCGCGGCGGGAGCGGGGAGCCGAGGCACTTCCGGGCCGGCGGCCTGCGGGCGAGCTCCCCAGCAGAGCCCTGGCCTGTGAAATGGGGCGCGGAGTAGGAGTCGGGGTCCGGAGTTGGTGCCCCAGGCCTCGGGGCGGCTCCGCTGTGGACGATCGCGCGGGCCCAGCGCTGGAATCCCAGCCGAGCCGCGATCGGTGTGCTCTTCGGGGGGCCGCGGGCGGCTTTCGCCCGGCCTCCCCCCCAGCAAGGCCTACCGGATGCTGACAGCCCCCGTGATACAGCCGGGAGGGCAGCCCAGGTTGGAGCACGGAGAACATGAACCGCGTGCACGCCGCTGCTTTCGTGGCGCCCGGCGCTGCAGGGAGCTTCCTTAAAACGCAGAGCAGCGGCAGAAAAGCGCGTGTGTTGATGACAGCACGTTGCGGGGAAGCTCGTCAGTGGGCGCAGAAGTTCGTTTGCCTTCTTTCTAGAAAGGAATTTTTGTCCCTTGCCACCTGGCCGTTTGCGATGTGTGCTGATGGAAGGGACAAGCTCGCATGTGTCCGTGTTGTGAGCTGATAGGAACAGGAACAAATTTACTAAGAACTGAACGGAGTGTTGGGAACACGGTAATAAATAAGGTGGTCCCGGTTCCCTGACGTTTAAACATTCCGAGAAACACGAAGGTAGACCTTTGCACACTAGCTAGAAATGCAGATAAGGGAGCGGGGAGCTCTGCCCAGGTAATTGATCAGGAGAGTGCCGCAGAGAAAATAACTTGAAATGCGCTGTAGAGGAAAGGGATGAGTTCTCCTGAGAGACTCCCAGCCAGTGTAAAAGAATGTGACGTTCATTATCATAACCAGTGACATTTTGCTGTGATTTCAGGAAAAAAGCGCTGTTCTGTTCGCCTAGAAATTGTTACCCCACCCCCCCAAAGCAAGGTAGCGCTGCCGCCCAGGGAGCTAGGCTGTCAGTGTCTGGTAGGCCTTGTTGGGGTCACCCTGAGGATACATCACATTCTATTGTCATTATTTTTTTATCAGTCTGAGTAAACGTTTACATGGCATCTGCAAAATGTTTTCCATATAAGACGTAGCATCGTTATCATAAGCAAAAACCTAAAAATACATTTCTAATATTAGTCTGTCCCCAGTAATTTGTTAAGCATTCAATTCTGATCAACCAAATGACCTACAAGAACTATTAAGATATGCAAAAGGCTTGATTACCAGCAGATAACAGTGAAGTAATTTTACTCAGAAATACCAATTAAACTACCCTATTCTTTAGGAAAACATTCTTTTATGCTTGCTGAGTTTTGATTCTTTTTTTTCCTTTTTTTCCTTTTTTTTATTGTAGTGTCTCAGATTCATTCTTAAGGAACTGAGAACTTAATCTTCCAAAATGTCAAGTAAGTTTCAATTTTTCTACTTATCAATCTGTGTTAATAAGAGACTAATGCCCTAGCAAATGGGAATTCCAAAATACTCTCATTTTTTTTTTCTTCAAAACAGGACCATTGGTAGTTTTGTTGCATAGTATTATATCTCAGTTGTTTACAAGAAGTTATTTATTTTCTTTCAAACAGAAAGACCATCTTATGCCCCACCTCCCACCCCAGCTCCTGCAACAGTAAGTTTTAATTTTCTTGTTAATGTAATAGCCAAGTCTGGCCTTGATACAGAAACCCACATGTCTTCCAGTGACAGTTACTCAATCATCACAGCCACAGGATGACAAATTCAGCTAAAAAACAGCACTTCCTACTAAATAAAATAACTCTCTGCATCTTACCTGGAACCAACCCCAACATTTTAAAACAACATACTGTGAAACTCCAGCCTCCTGTGATCTGCCTGCTTTTTTCTCAGTGGGAAATTTGAGTTTAACACTTCTTTATCGTTAAATCACTATTCAGGGTCTTGACGTTGATAACTGAGTGAATGCTCATTCTGACTTCTTCGTTTTGTTTTGTTCTTAAACCTGACCTTCACCTGGTTATATTTTTCACTCCTTTCTTATCTACATATGAAATTTTCATATTAACTCAAACAGTAAAGCTTCTAGTTCTACAACTATAGTCACTTTAAATCTTTATTTTCAAGCTGTTCAAGTATGGATTTCAGGATCTGTGGGTGAGATCTTGCTATTCAATTTGATTCCAGCCCGTCGAGTATATTTTATCGGCTTGTGAATTGATTACGTCTTGTCAAAGGGTTTCAATAATAGTTGTGAATTTGCTTTTTTTACCCAGCAGGCTCTGGCCCAGCTTGACCGGCATGAAAAATAGTTGCCCAACCCGCAAATCAAATTTGACAGGAACAGTGCAGGCCTTGCTGAAATGACTTCCCTAAAGGTTTTTCTGGGGGATTTTTCTGTTCTGTTTTGTTTTTTTAAAAGACACTGTTAACCTGAGCAGATCCTACAGAATCATTCTTTAATGGCTGGTAGCCCTTCCGTGCCCCCCTCCCACCACTAAATTTCAGGTTAGCCGACTTTATACTACTAAGTAGGTCCTTGTTTAATTTTGTTCTGTCCACTAGATAAGTAGTCTTCTTTACTAACCCTCACATACATGCTTTAGTTCCATTTATCAGTAATTTGTTTTTCCTTAATGAGGTGCTTTTAAAAAGAGATACTGTATAATGTGTTCTCAGTTCAGTTCGTACAACACACCCTTTGAAATCAGTTCCAGTAGGCCTTAAAGCCCTCTGCTTGGTTTGTTTCCTTCTGTAAGTCACAGAACCTTCCTTAGCCGCGGCCGCGCAGCACCCGGGGACCGTCCAGCTGGAGCTGCACGGTGGAGGTTCTGACCTCCCAAGAGCTGACCACGTCCTTCGCTCAGCTTTGGAAATGGGATCATAACTGTGTCCGTTTCCGCTGTCCTAGTTCCCTGTGGCCCTCACATTAGTGCCTCACGCCGAACAGTGACTCCCATTGGCTGTGCAACATGCGCAGGTGTCGTTCTGACAGAAACACTGCCTCTGACAGCGCAGAATGTCCGAAGGACAATCTTGCCATTTTTGAGATTAAAATTTTCAAGAACCGCGTATCCTCTTCTGACTTCTCATATTAGAAAGGCATTTTTTGGCTTTCTTGAAGTCACATTTCTGTATCACATTTTCACATTGACACACAAAGCAGAGTAGGAATTAGAGTACCTCCCAGAATAGGTGCTAAGTGAATTACTCTCCTTCCTTTTTTTCTTTTTTGTTCCATTACTTCCACCACCACCACCATTGTCACAACCTCCTCACCACTCAGCCGTTCCACTCCAAGTAACATACACTTCTCTTGTGCCTCTGATGCTTCATGGGTGTTTTGCCTCCTTAAATATGCTTAACTTGCGTCTCCCTGTTACATAGGCTAGAAATGGATCAGGTGTCTTTTTTCCCAGAAAGTACCAAATGTGCTATCTGCTTGAAATGTCTTTGGACCCTAAGATATACAGAGAGATATATACATATAGTGGCATGTTTTTGAAAATTGTGTTTATTTGGTAACAAACTCAAGCTTACTTGGGATGTGTTAAATGTATATACAACTTAGGACTATTAATTGCATGTAAATGAAATTACTGTCCGTTATTTTGACTGCGTTCCATTAGGTAAACTTACCCTACTTTTGATCTCTTTGCTACATTCTTTTTATGCATTATGCCCTGATTTTCATGAACATTGGATGTCGTTATATTACCCCCAAGGCCCGTTTGTGATTATATCAACATACAATTCACAGAAACCAAAAATTCTGTTGGCTGCAGCAAACATGTTTTGAAAGGGTGAGAGCTTTCAGGAAACTAGGTAAAAAACGGGAAGTTCAAGTCTGTCAGGTAGACAAGTAGTTCCCAGTAAGACTAGATGGAAAAATTGCTCGTGATTGACCTATGGAAGATGGATCCAAGAAGAGATGGAAAGAAAGCGTAGAGAGAGTGACTGGGTTAAAAAGACCAGATAGTGCCCCGGAATGAATCCATGCATTTCTTACAAGTCTCTGTTCTAAAGTCATGTACGTGACATCCATTGACTCAGCATACATTCTTTTCTATTGACAACGCCTAGCTTCCTGATTTGAGTCTCTTTCCATCCGTCACATTATATGAAATGACTTAGCACTGTCTTTTGGAAAGCAGATCCATTTCTTATTTTTATTTGTTTTTATTAGATGAATACATTGGTGGCATCCACATAGCTGTCAAATAAATCATGTTTTGTTTTGCATGTAGTGTTTTCAGACTTCTAGCGTATTACACCTGAAGCCTTCCTGTCTCAGACCCCATATATGGCAGTTACTGTCACACTACTGACCGTGAAGTACCTCTGGATGTGTGAAACACTGCAGTGTATTGCTGACCTCAAAAAATAAGCCCCACACATTCACTCTCACAGATACCCCCCAGCCCCTGTGAAAAGCAAGAAAAAAAGGACCACTTGTAGACTGATTTCTCAATGAAAGAAAAATTTAATTTCCTCAATGAAGAAAAAAAAAAACCAATTACAACACATCATTGCTTGTTTAAGTTCAGGTTGCTTTTGCATGCCATATGCAGATCACTTTTCATTTCTGTGTTCTCGTTTGAGCTCATTTCTCATTCGTGTTTTTGTCTCATTTGTTTCCATCAGCAAATGCCCAGCACACCAGGGTTTGTGGGATACAATCCATACAGTCATCTCGCCTACAACAACTACAGGCTGGGAGGGAACCCCGGCACCAACAGCCGGGCCACGGTAGGAGAATCAACTATTACAGCCTCCAGCACACCACTGGAATGGACCAGAGATGCCTCCAGAGTTAGGTCCTTTCGAGTCATAAGCACAGCCATTTAAAAAAAAAAATTAAACCTGGCTTTTCAGGTATTTTAAACGTCCATGTACGATCTTAGACCGAAAAAAGAATAGATCTGGAAATGTATACAGAAGAAAAGAAAAATCCATTCTGTTTGGTGGTTGGCAGGGATAAAGCCTTGGGCACCCACTGCTTTTGCTGTATGTAGTACACAAGCTGAGTGTCCTTGTGGTTTGATTTCTGAAGTGAAGAGCACCTTGCATTTTTCCAAGGTAATTGGGGTTAGTCACAGGACTCTGCTCTTAGTAAAGGCCTGGCTTTCAGAGCTGGCGTTTTCGGGGCTAGAAAGCTTTCGGCTGGCCTGCCAGCCTGAATCGCTACACGTCGTTATTTGTCTTTTGGATTTAATAGTTGCCCTTCTAACTGAGACTCATTTCTCCCCAGTTGAAAATGAAAAAAGACTTTAATGTCACTTCAAAGAATTACAGAGTAAAAATTGAATGAAATTAAATTAATTGGAAGTGTCAGACTAGATACGTACAAGCAGAAGTACATTTCTAGCCTTAGCACCGGGAACGCGACTTCTAAAACGTAAGGTGTTTCATAATCAAAACTGGATGGTATACTTCAAAGTTTTTATTTCAGAATTACCTTAAACTCCATTCAAAGAAGTTGAAGTAACAAATGAAAATAAATCCAAAAGGCAAATACCAACCTGCACTAGAATGTGGTATTGGTGAAAATATGTACAACCCAGAATGGCTGTAGACTCTTTAACACCTGGTTTTCCTTTGCTGTGTTCATAAATAATAAATAAGTGCCTTTGGTTCATGTAACTGCAGAAAGCCCTCTCACCCTGTAGTCGAGCACAGCTAAAGCTCGTAACCGTCAGACTGTATGTCTATCTCGGTAAACGCATCGCTTAGCCTGATAGGTTGTTTGTCTAAATTTTTCATTGTTCTGCATAATTTGTACTTCATAAGCATACCGAGTTTTATGTGCCATGCATATTTCATGGTATCTGGAAAAAAAAACCTGCCAAAGCGTGTTGGTGTATGCATTTCACCATGCATACCGTCTGTATGTGCATCCGTACATGTCTCACCCTGGCCTAACGTGTTGTTTCACAAGTGTTGTGGGTGGCGAGGTTATCGAACGGTAAAGAGCATCTCAATTCGAACAGTGAACAGAATCAATTTTGGATCATTCGTGTTAATGCATTTATTTACTCATTGGCACTCAGTAAGAATGATTATATTTAATAGCGCTTTACAGTCAGCTCTTGATTATCTGGGAATAGAAACCTTGCTCCTGGGATAACTTGGCTTTCAGGTTTGTGTGTGCGTGCGTGTGTGTGTGTGTGCGCGCTTTTGTCTTAACTTGGGTTCTCGATTGCAGAAGTGGGCTCCTTCAGTGGAGGCCCAGGGAGAGGCGGCTGCTCAGGCCTGGGTCCTTCTCCCTTTGCCCTTTCTGTCCTGTCTGCAGAACAGAAGGACCCGCACTTGGAGTGAGTGGACTAGTGCAGGAGAGTTGTGGCCGTGGGACACTTTGCGTTTTGGTTCTTCGTGGTGGTTTTGTGTTGCTGTCCTAACTCCGGCTTGAAGCACAGCCAAGCTGCTATAAACTCCTGGTTTCCTCTGTTACGGTTCTGCAGTTCTGCTTCTGCCGTGAGAGGAACCGGGTCACGCGTCACGTGGGGGTGAGTGGCACCTATTCAGTGTTGCTGTCCTCCGCAGGTTGCCTTAATCAGGGACAGAGGAAGCCCTGAGCAGGAGCTTGGGTGGTTTTCAGAAAACAAGACACTTTATGTCGCAGCCAGCGGACACTTTCGGGACTGAGCGTGCCGGCTGCGTGTTGCGCTTCCCTCCCCGTCAGCTCTTCACGCGATGACAAGTAAAGTGCTCTTACGTACAGGTGTCCGAAGCGGTCGAGGCCAGTGTGGAAGCGGCCTGTCTCCCTACTGTAATGAGAAGGCTGTCTCAGAAGGAAACCCTTGAGTACTACTGCCTCACGGAGCGAGAGCCAAGATTGGGAAGCAGCGGACACGGAGCCCTGAGCCGGGCTCTGTCACCTTCCGCAGCCTCGTCCGTAAGGAGCGGTCTCAGCAGGTGTAGTGATTTGTTTCCTCCCTGCCTCGTTTCAAATTGGGAGCAGAAAATCGGAAAGAGCAAGAGCAGCCAATAAAAGCGGACTTCCTGACAGCAGCAAGGCGAGCAGCTTTGGGAGGGAAACTCCAGCTCCGCTTTGCAGGCGCGGGCGCCTGTGGAAAGGGCTGCGCGTTCAGTGCACCCGCTGTGGTCAGGGCCAGGGACGCTGCCCAAGCCGTCTGTCTGAGAGGCTGAATACACCAGTCGCATGCCCCTCAAACCGGCTGTCATTTAACTTCTTGTTGTTTGGATACTGGGGGCGTTTTTTTGTTTCAGGTTTTTGCAGTTGTAAGTTACTTGTCGGTGTCGTGAAAATACGACCTCAATATATGTAGTGATTTGTGTCCCTTCTTTTGGAGAAAGAAGCAGAAATAAGTAAACCCATTAATGTTATAAAATGTGCTTTTTATTTTATTTTTTTGGGGGGGGTGCAGAGTCTCACAGTGCAGTTCAGGCTGGCCTTGAACTCACTATGTAGCCCAGGCTGGCCTCGAACACGGGGCGATCCTCCTGCCTCAGCCAGGGTGACAGGCATGCACCGCCATGTAAAGTGTGATTCTTTGAAAAATTTATCAAACAGAAAATAAGACTGTATTGTGTTTTAAAGTGTTCTAATTCATAGCTGAAGCTTGAAAGCCCAAACATTTTAGAATTCTTTACCCGTTAATTTTTTGCAACATGCTTACAGCAGCCTGCCACCTCCAGCTGCGGCACAGACATTTGCAGCCTGCTCTGTGGGACTGCGGAGGCCAGGGCAGGGTCTGAGTTGAAAACGCTTTCCCAGAACTCCTTGCAGACTTCGGCGACCTCCTGCTGCAAGCCCATGACATCAGGTTGGCCCTGTGGGACTTGCCCTCCCCAAAGAGACCACAGGCCTGGTGCAGGGCTGCCCTCGCCCGCCGAGGTAGGGCAGGGAACACGAGAGGAGGACGCGCTCTTGAGGAGGCCAGGGCTGCCTCCGACTCCAGAGAGAGGTAGCCGCATGGGAAGGAGCCCCGCGCAGGGACGCAGGCGTTTCTCGGCTGCAGTGGAAGGGGCAGCGACACGCGAGTCCCCGAGTCCCGGGCTGGGAAAGCACGGCGAGGAACCTGGGCCTTCGTCACATCAGCAAGGGAGGGAAAGGACGCAGTCGCAGTCCCCCCAAGGGCTGGCCTCCCCGCGTCCGCAGGGATCTCTGCTCCTTTGGTTTTCTCGTCGCGCTCCCTCCTGGAGTGCAGCTCTCGTGCCCGGCGGAGGCCGGGAGTGGGAGGCAGCTGTTCTTGGGCTGGTGGCCTTGGCGTCTGTCTGCTGTCTCCTAGCGAGAGCTCAGCCCAGGCGAGGAACTGGTTTGCCACCTGTCCTGGGCCCTCCCTTTTTGTTTTCTCTCACCCACTGTTCACCTTTTTAAAAAGGTATTTCTCAGTGTCTGCTTCCCCGCTTTCCTCCTGTCTCCTCTTTCCTGTACAGCCCATCTTTTCCTTGTCTTTCTCGAAACTAAAAACGTGTGGTGAGTTGGGGCTTCATCCAGCCCTGCCCGTGGCTGCGATCTTGGGGTCTCGCTTGCTCCTCCTAGATGGAGAGGACGGGTTCCCCACCGCTGAGGGACAGGCCGCGCCCGCGGGCAAAGCGCAGTCTAAGGCTTGGGCCCCGCTGTCCTGTGGATCTGCTGGTGTTGGGGCGGCTGCTGCGCGGTGGGGCGCGCTCCCGACAGCACGGCCGGCGCCTGTGGAGCGTGTGAGTGTGTGGGCGCGGAGGCGCGGGTGGGGCAGGTAATCCAGGGCTGACTGTATGCGAGGCGGCAGTGGAGCCAAGTCCAGGGTGCCGGGAAAGTGCCCAGTGTGAGATGCTCGCTCTCTGACCACGGATGCTCAGTGTACGGGTCGTTGCGTAATACTCATTTGTTCTTACAGCCAGCTTGTCAGAGCAGTGGCAGTAAACTGCCAAGTAAACCTAGAAGTTATGTGCTGAAAGTCATTCTCCTTTGATGTGAACGTTTCTGAATTTGCAGTGCTAGCTATTTTCCGTGGAGAAAATATAAGAATCTTGTTCTCATGGACGAGTAGAAGAAAGACGCATTAGAAATTTTTAAGGGACTCTCTTTTCAGGTTGCTAGTAAACTTGCAGGTGAATAATGAACGCATTTAACTCTCTTGTAGGCATCCTCTGGTATTACGATTCCAAAGCCCCCAAAGCCACCAGATAAGCCGCTGATGCCCTACATGAGGTACAGCAGAAAGGTAGGCGCCCGCCCGGGCCGGGGGGCGGTGGGGCTGCTGCTGCTGGTCGGCCTCGCCCTGCGAGACAGGGAAGCTGGAGGAGCTGACGTTTCCCAAGACCAGAAGTAGCATCCAATAAGGGGAGGGAGAGCAAATGAACGTCCTCCCCTAGCCAGAACGCACTGCGCGCATGAGAGCAGTGTGCTTTGCAGAATGGCGTGACGATATCCGCTGACACTGGGTTTTATAGAAGCAGTGGCGGTAGCCACATGTTAGTCGGAAGGGAGAAAAGCCTGAGGAACAGTGGCTACCTGTAGGCAGTAAGCTTGTAGTAGCTCTTACTTCTTTACATGTCTTGGAATTTTCTAAATTGTTTTGGTGATGAATCTACATTACACTAAAAATATAGCCAGTGTCTTTATTAAAAGGAAGAGCATTTTAACCACTATTTAGATTTGTTAACTGTTGCTCATAACATTACATATGTATTTGACAAGATGATGATGTATTATGTTATGCAAATTAATCACTATCTTTCCAAAACCACTTGAACTTACAAAGACGTAGACTGGCTGCTGAGTTACCTTGTCTCAAGTGTCATGTACATACAGTCCCAGCACTGGGGAGGCTGAGGCAGGAGGATCCTTCAGCCTAGGTGTTGAGGACCAGCCTGGATAACAGAATTACTATCTCAGACAAACCAACGGTTCAGTAACATGAAAATGGAGTGAGGTCAGCCAGCTATTGCTAACCGTCGAAGTGGGTTGATGAGGAATTTGATGTTCCCTCTGCTTTTGTTTATGTTTAGAAGTTTCTATATTAAAAAGTACTTTTACCTGTGTGCATGCGTAGTACCAGTATTGAAGTTTCACCTGTTGCCTTTCAAGGTCTGGGACCAAGTAAAGGCTTCCAACCCTGACCTAAAGCTGTGGGAGATTGGCAAGATTATTGGTGGCATGTGGCGAGATCTCACTGATGAAGAGAAACAAGAATATTTAAACGAATACGAGGCAGAAAAGGTAGGGCTGGGCCGTGGGGACGTGCAGTGCATCAGCGTGGGAGTGTTACTGATAAACCTAAGACTTGTGGGAGAGCAAGGCCGCCCCGCAGCTCTGTCTGTGGGTCCCCTTGTCCAGAGAGAGAGAACTTGCCTCGCTGCCTCTGGTACTCAGGTGGCGATGCAGGTGCAGTGCTAACCGTCCGCCGCAAACCTTGGGTTTCAGATCGAGTACAATGAATCTATGAAGGCCTACCATAACTCCCCCGCGTACCTTGCTTACATCAATGCGAAAAGCCGCGCCGAAGCCGCGTTAGAGGAGGAGAGCCGGCAGAGACAGTCGCGCATGGAGAAGGGAGAGCCGTACATGAGCATCCAGCCTGCGGAAGACCCTGACGGTGAGCAGGCGGGGCGCGGGGGCGGGGCGCCTCCTCTCAAACCAAGATGGAAGGCAGCCCTGCAGTTCTTTTTTTTTTTTTTGGTTTTTTTCTCCAGTACCGGGAACCGAACTCACGACCTTGTGCTTGCCAGGCAGGCGCTTTTGCCGCTGAGCTAAATCCCCAGCCCAGCCCTGCAGTTCTTGTTTCATAAATAGAGCAGCGTAATCGAAGTGCCGTTTCAATAGAGTACGACTTTTATGTGAATTTCCCGTGAGAAAAAGACGTCATTTTCGTTCCACGGAGCAGTAAGAACTGTATTTGTGGTCTGTCAGCGTCTTAGTATCTGGGACCCTTGAAGTGTTGTGAATCATAGCGGGACGTTGCTTGCTTTGCCATCCCCAGCATCAGGAAAAGGAAGCAAAAGGGCACGGCTAGGTGCAGCCAGCTCCGCCTGGCTTCACGGGGTCCCCAACTTTGCTGAGAAGAGCTCCTGAGGGAAAGTTAGTGAGTGGAGAGACGCACTCTGAAGCCTTCCTGCCAGGGCATTCTCAGGTGCACTGGGAAGGCACAGCCCAGCTCCCCAGGCCCAGCGCACGTTCGCACAGTGTCCCGCGCGGGACACTGCCGACCTGTGTTCTCTGCATGCTACGGCAGTGTGGCAGAGGTGGCCGGCTCCGGCCGTCAGCTACAGACTCACCAAGGGTATAACTCAGGGTCTCCTGGAAAGAGCAGTCACAGAGGATGTTCGGAGCGGCTTTCAAGGGGGCCCCAGGAGGGAGGGAGCGGTTGTGTCACCTGAAGGTCAGTGCATAGTGCTTACGAAGAAGGGACTGAAAAGAGTTTTTAAAAGACTGGCTGAGACACAAAGGCCCTCATCAACACAGACCATAGAGTGTAACAGTACGAGTAGAAACAATACTGAGTGTTGGCCGGGGATATAGCTCAGCAGCATAGGCGCTTGCCTGGCAAGCCTGAGGTCATGAGTTCAATTCCCAGTACCCAAAAAGAAAAGAATAATACTGAGTGTTAAGCAGAATCACCAGTGTTAAAGACACTAACATACGTGGACGTAAATTTCTCTAATGTGATTGGTAATGTGAGAAAAATACAAAACTGAGAAGGGACATGTGGATCTGTGCCGGAGAAACAAAGGCTGGTAACGCAGAAGCTGGAAGCCAAAAGAGTTTTCCAAACGTGAAGAATAATAGCGCTAATCCCAGCACTCTGGGAGGCTGAAGCAGGAGGACCCCCAAGCTGGAGACCAACCTCGGCAGCTTAGTATCTTAGCAAGACTTTGTCTTAAAAAACAGAGGACTGGCGGGGTAGCTCAGTATGAAGGCCCTGGGTTCAATTTCCAGTGCCACCCAAGAAATAAAAAACAGTGTAAAACTGAAAAGGAGTGAAGAAATTCACTCAGAAACAGTCTCGAAGTTTTACACGGTGTGTTTTTAAGAGAGGCTCCTGAGTCAGCTTAAGGACACTGAGAGACAGGTGTGCTGCCAGGACTGCAGCTGCCGCTGGCAAACGCCCATCCTGGGGACACGGGCCGAGACCCAGAGTCAGCGGAGGCTGGCTGTGTGGTGACACTTGAGAGGTGGTCGTCCCGGCACGGTGCAGCCCCGTGGTGGGTTCTGTAGAGCTTGTCCCCCCCGGCTCTGCCGGGGCGCTGAGATGAGGCGGTTCGGGTGAACCCTCTTCTCACGAGGGTTGCGTAAGGAAACACCTTGTTCAAGGGAGTTCACTTAAGGACAGTATTCAGGTAATAGCAGATTGTTAGCAAGTATGTAACGCGCGTGTAAAAGCCTGGGACAGTAATAGGCAAAGGGTGAGATTAGAAAACTTCGTACAGTTTCTAAAAGTGAGCATCGAGCCAGACCCTCGTGCGCACTGCTCACAGCTGTGTACGCGTGTGAACTGACAAAAGCTCAGAGTAAATTGGGGATCAGATACTCATTCTTCCCCATAAAATTACTTCAGGTCTTCCTGCTGGGGTTTTTTGGCGGGGGGTTGGCTTTGTCTTGTTTTGTTTTGTTTTATTTTGTTATTTATTTTGAGACAGGGTGTCGCTATGCCGTTCAGGCTGGCCTTGAGCTCACTTTGAAGCCCACACTGGTCTCAAACTCTCAATGATCCTCCTGCCTCAGCCTCCTGAGTGCTGGGATTACAGGCGTGCACCACCATGCCCGGCTTCATGGTGTTTTAATCTAATAAAATGTAGGCACCACCTGGGGGATGTGGATTTTATAAACGGGCACATGGACTGACCTCAAAGCGCTCCCCGAGCACATACATTGTTCATGGGTTGTTAAGCTCCGTAAATCACCGCCAAGTGTGCAGCACTCCCAGCATTTCAGCGCAGGCCCCTCACTCGGATCCTAAAGCCAAAGCCCAGTAATACATCCTGCCCTTGTCTACGTCCACAAAGAGCCTCCCGTAAGTCCTTGTGCTCATTCCAGATTACGATGACGGCTTTTCCATGAAGCACACGGCCACCGCCCGTTTCCAGAGAAACCATCGCCTCATCAGTGAAATCCTCAGCGAGAGCGTGGTGCCGGACGTCCGGTCAGTCGTCACCACGGCTAGAATGCAGGTCCTCAAGCGCCAGGTCCAGTCCCTCATGGTTCACCAGGTAGGGCCGGCAAACACCGACGGTAACGCAGCGGGCCTGGGCCGCACTCGCGATTCCTACACTGCCACGAGTGCACCCCTGAAGGGTTTCGGCCTGGCCTGTGCTGGCCTGGAGTGACAGCTGAGGACCGTGGACCACTCACCGCAGTGGCTTACTGCGGTTGTCATTCATAACTGCAGCAGAGCCTCGTAGCTGAGGGTGCGTCCGGGGTGAAGTGCCCGCGTATGTGAGACACCGAGACAACCTGTCCACCTTTGCTGCTTTACTAAGTACTTTTTCTCAAAGAAGTTGCTCAGGCTTCGCGTGGCATTCTTTGACATTTACTTCATTAGTCATCGTTATCCCTCTGTGTTGTATTTTACATTTTTTTAATTTAGCTAGACTCATGTAACAAAAGGTCTGAATTTAAAATGCAAACCGTTGTTTGTTTTTGGTCTTTTTAAGATACGGTGTCACTATACAGTTCAGGCTGTCCTTGAGCTCACTTTGTAGCCCAGGCTGGTCTCGAACTCACAAAGATTCTCCTGCCTCAGCCTCCCGAGTGCTGGGATTACAGGCGTGTGCTACCACGCCTGGCAGAAAACATTACTTGTCATACTGCCTGACTGTATGGACCATTAAAAACTGAGGCATGTTTTCCATGTTTGACGTTAGCTGCAGAGGAAATAAGTCATTGTAAAAGCTGTTTGTGTGTCTTACAGCGAAAACTGGAAGCCGAACTTCTTCAGATAGAAGAACGGCACCAGGAGAAGAAGAGGAAGTTCCTGGAAAGCACAGATTCGTTCAACAATGAGCTCAAAAGGGTATCCAAGCAGTGCGCGGACCGAGCCTTCACCTCTGTGCCTCTTATGTTCATTTTTCTTGTCCTTTTCTCCAGAATAGTGTTCCAGGGGTTTTTTTGTTTTTATTTTTTCTTTTTGTCTTTTTGAGATGGTCTTCGCTATGCAGTTCAGGCTGGCCTCGAGCTCATCTCATAGCCCAGGCTGGTCTAGAACTTGCAACAATCCTCCTGCCTCAGTCTCCTGAGTGCTGGGATTACGGGGGTGCACCACCACGCCTGGCTAGTGTTTTAGTTTAAAGAGAAAAAAGAAAACAACAAAAAGGATGCAGAATTTCAAAACGAGATGGTAGGAAGTTAACAAGGGTTATTATATTGCATTTTGGTATCTTCAGACTGAGTAGTGGCTCAGGTTACCAGGTGTAGGCGTGCGGAATTGATCAACAGTATAAGCACTAACTGTTCCTTTCAGTGAACTGATAGAAATTAGTAGTACAATTGTCTTAGCTATCTTTTGTATATATATTTTTCCCTTTTTTATTTTAAAGATAATTTTCAAAAATAAAAATGATACAAAATTTCAAACCAAGATGATAGGAAATTACAAGATGATAGAAAATGAACAGTGGTATCATACTGCGTAGGTTATCTTCAAAATAGTCGCTCAGGTTACTAGATAATGTTTTTATTGACTCTTGCTCACTCTGAAACAGGGTTCACTTCACTATCTAACCTGTAACATTGCTGCCTTATAAAAGTGTTCCCGTGTTCTGGAAAAATTACAGATAAATTTGAAATACCATATATACATGGCCTAAGCCCATAGATGTTAGAGCTCTTCAAGTTTTTAAACTTAGACACGGTCATGGATTATTTTTACTATATTGGAATTTACTCATCAGACTGTTTTAACACCGTTTGCACTTTCTGTCAAACCTGGCAGTTGATACCGAGAAATATAAACCGGAAACTTTGTGTTTAATGCCGACTCCTAGCATTGCCTCACCACCCACCCTGTGACGTTCACTGTTACGTTCCGGCCTCCAGGACAGCTTCCTTAGCCTTTAGAGTCTCTGGGAAGGCCTGGGACCAAGTTCCCCCCACCACATGTACATACATATATATGTATTTCATAGGCAAAAAAACCCTACTTTTGAAACAGTTTCTCTCATTCCAAAATTGTAAGGGAAGAACGTGGCTAACAGAAGTATCTCCTTGGTTTTCCTGACCCCAGCTGTGCGGGCTGAAGGTGGAAGTGGACATGGAGAAGATCGCGGCAGAAATTGCCCAGGCCGAGGAGCAGGCCCGCAAGAGGCAGGAGGAGCGGGAGAAGGAGGTGGCGGAGCAGGCGGAGCGCAGCCAGGGCAGCCTGGCCCCCGAGGAGGAGCAGGCAGCCAGCAAAGCCGAAGAGAAGAAGGACGAGGAGAGCATCCCGATGGAGACAGGTAGCGTGGAGGGGACCCCAGTGCTCCTCAGAGGTCGCCCTCTGCTTTCCTGGCTGCCGGAGGGTGGGGTTGGAGCCAGAGCCTCATGCTAAACTACAGGCCCAGGCCCAGCCTCTGGCTTTTACCTTTCGGCGCTGCGGAGTAGCGGAGCCCGCTGATGGACTTCCCAGGAGGCTGTCTGTCGGAGCACCTCCCACCTGCCTCTGCGTGCATCCTGGTACTCGGGCTGACGCAGCGTTAGCGCTCAGTGTTTTACCCTCCTCGCTAACGCCGTTGACACCAGCCCCGGCTGAGGTTCTTAGGGCTGTTTGACGTCCTGGGGTAGCGCCTGGCTAGGTAAACCTTGAGCCAGATCCGCCCACTGCTGTCTTTGCCACTTTACTGAGACACAGCCACGCCCGTTCGTGTGTGTAGTGGACGTGGCTCCCTGCGGGCCCCAGCAGCAGAGCTGAGTAGACTCAACAGGGGTTGCCTGGCCCACAGCCCTAACAGGACTGCCAGCCTTATCCCGGAAGACCGTGCCCACAGGCACACCGAGTGCCCTGCGCACAGCGTCCCTCAGGCAGACTGCGCCAAGTAAGACGCACGCGCGGGCCTGCCCAGGGTGAGCTCTGCCTGGCGTTGCGCGGTGCTTTACCTTCCCGCGCTGCGCCCTCTGCGCCTGGTGCAGTTGCGGCGGCTCCTCAGCACTGCCGAGAGTTGCACAGTGGTACAACTCCGTTAGCTCTCCTGTATGTACATACTTCCATAATTTCCCCTTCTTTGCCTTCTCTTTTCCCTCACCCCACTTGCCCTTCACTTTTGAGCGTTTTCCTTTCCTTTCACAGTGCCTATCATACCTCCTAGTTTCTATTCACTCTCTCTGGCCTTACACTAGTGAGGCAATACGATGCTTACACGTGCAGGTCTGATGTATTTCAGTTACGAGTACGGGGACAGTAGTCACATTTTGCAGTCAAACGACAGCCATCAAGAAAGCATTGCAGGGACGGTAGCCATTTCTACCAGGTATTTCTACAGAATTTCATTCAGCAGTTTCACATTCAGATAGTCAGACTTGGAGTTTCACCCCCTAAGCCTTTCTGTTTTGATGCGCGGGTTCTACCTTACATTCGGAGCACGAGCGCATTTTTTGTGGTTAAAGCAAGAACTTGAAAATGCAGTTACGGTTCTTTCTCATTTTGCAACTAAACAGAACACGCGGTCCTCCGCCTCTGTTCTCCCTCTGGCCTTACTTGAAGGCCTGTGGGTTCTCAGCTTCTGTCCCTCCACCGTAAGGGGAAACTGAAGAAAATGAAGGCTGCAGGCAGACGCTGGGTGCTCTTAATTTCTCCTAGAGAACAACCCAGCCTGACCTTGAAGCAGAGTATCCAGAATCCTAACTTTATGTTTTCTTTTTTTTTTTTTTTTT